GCTCAGAACATAGGGAGTAAATTTAGGTCCCAACATCAGAATTTATGAGGTGCCATTAGGGTTTCAGAGAGGGTTGTTATCTGGTCAGGGAAAACCAGGCATGGGTGAGTTCAAGGCACGAGCAGGCATTCCAAGCAAGTTTAAAACATCAAAATATGGTCAGGCCAAATAGAAATCCTGATATTTTACAGAAAACAGAAATGTATCTTTTATAACTTTTGACAAGATGGCTCCTGATCTTAAGAGGGAATTAGGCTGGGTTTATCAGTCTGAGCAGTATGTTTTTAGAAGACTATTCAAAATTAATTTTTAGCTACTGGGATGAAAAAAAATACCAATTTTCTAGCAGTAGAGGAAGAGAACAACCCTAGAATTTGAGAAGGGAATATCTTCAACCCTGGAAAATATGGAGGAGAGAAGGACATTAATGAACTTTGTCCTTCATAACTACTGTAAGGTCCTTGCTTAGCATCTGGACAGCCATCTTAAGTGACAGTTGCCATTTTAAGATTCTTAGGTTTATAATTAATTTCTTATATTTCAAATATCATATGATCCAGGGCTGGGATAGATAAGCACTTCAAAAGAGAAATCTAGGTTGTTAGACTAGAAATAGTCCTTGGATCATGGGAGATAAATAGCTTTAAATGGAGGATCCAGACTGTCAGACTCTATGTCAGGGGAGAAAATGGATCCACACAGTAAAACACTCTCCTCCAGTCAATAAAGACAGGGCCAGCTCTCGCCATTTTGAGTGACCAATAGTTGATTTGCTTGATTATCATATCATTTACATCTTACTGTAATTTCATATTTGCTCCACCAGTGGGCTTGGTGCCTATGGGTAATGAATATGCATATTGCTGTTATGGAAAATATGGAAAATTATGGCAATGGGAAGAGACAAACACTTGGAGATGCAGAAGAGCAAGGTTTATTCAGCACCAGTGTGGGCTCAGTAGTTTTCTCCAAAGGCTGAGTTCAGCCCTTTGTTCTTGCCGCAGTCTGGCTGGGCACAAATCACTGAGCCGCCACAAAGCACTTGTATGTTCAAACAGGAAACTTTATTGCCAGAACTCCACCAGCACTCCACACACACTCCCCGGAAACTCTCCCAGCTCTCCCCCGGGCTCCGCACCAACCGTCTTGGAACCCCAGGAGAACTCAACTGGGAACTCCAAAGTAGCAGGCGCCCAAGGCAGCAAGAGCCGCCCTATTGCTGGACAGCAAGGGTCTAATATACAACTGAATACACAGCTTAATTAACCATCATCATCTCAATGGCTTGCTGGCATCACCTTTCAACCATTCCCTCTGGCAAAATGCCAGGCATCATTCCCACTCGCTGTGGCCCTCAACATGTTCTCAGTATCTTTTATACAATACAGACTTCCAGGTTTTAAGATTTTCTTATGCAAGTAGCCTTGATCCCTCCCTCTTACTCCAGGTAGCTCTGGTTCCTGCCACAGCTGCTGAGCAAGCATGATATAGAAGTGAAACCTAGCAAGTTGAAGTTATTAGCAGAGATAAAAAGAAACATCTTAGGAAGGAGTTGCTGTTTCACAGCCAAAATGGTTATATAACTAGGGTTATTGTTGTGAATTATGGCAATAGGAAAGGAATTAAGTTACCTAGTAGGTGGAGTGTAGTTGCTGTGCATGTTTTATTGTTGTTGTTGCTGTTTGTTTGTTTTGTGGTGCTGGGGATCGAGGGCCTTGTGCATGCAACTGAGCTATATCTGCAGTGCTGTGCATGTTTAAAACCAAATAAATTATAGAAGACAAAGAAACATAAGGCCTATTTCCTCTTCAGAATCAGTCCACTCTCCCACTTTCACTCTCCCTTGGCTTTCATAAGAGTGAACATTTGCCTCTACTTCCATCCTCATTTTCCCTAAAAAATTTCTTTTGCTAAACAGTTACACTTGCCTGACTTTTTCTCTCACATAGGATGCAAGTACCCAGAGAATTTTCACTACTGGTTTCAGAATCAGGATATAAAGTAAACAGGCCACACCCCTGAATCTGGAACAACATTCCTCCTGCTGAGAAAGGAAGCTGAGAGGCTGTGACCCCCCACCCCACACAGGCTCCATGAGAAGGAAATGAAGATTGCTTACTCAGGCCTAAATCTACTTATGTATATTTCCCTGCCTCTTCTTCTTTAAAAGTTCTAATTTTCAGGGATTTCAGAGATGGAAATTTTGAAACATTTAAGTTTCCTCCACTTTCATTCAAAGCTGGCTATTTTCCTACCAAATTGACTCTGAATTTTTCTGGAATATCCTGAAAAATTATTGTTATTACTAGGTGACCCTAGGGGACACAAGATGTACTCTTCCCTAGTAATAACACTTTGAGCACCATAGACAAGGCTATGCGTATAACTTCTTAGGATTGGATTTTTTAAAAAATAGTATTAGTCAACTATTTTAATGCTGTGACAAAAGAACCTGACCAGAACAATTGTAGAGGAGGAAAAGTTTATTTGGTGGCTCACAGTTTTAGTTCATAAAAGTCCAACTCCATTCCTCAGGGTTCCAGGTGAGGCAGGACATCATGGCAGAAGAGTGTGGGGGAAGGAAGCAGCTCACATGATGATCAGAAAGCAGAGAGAGATTCAAAATATATTGTACAAAACTACTTCCTCCAGCCATATCCTCCTGCCTCTAGTTACCACTCAGTTAATCCCAGTAGGAATTAATTCACTGATTATGTTAAGGCGGTAACACAATCATTGCTCCTCCAAACCTTCTTGCATTGTTTCACATGTGAGTTTCTGGGGGACACCTCTTCTAAACCATAACAGGACCAAACTTTATAATGCTTTACTTAGTTCAATAATATAGAAAATTATTTTTCAAATTTTTTAATGCAACAATGTCACTGCTAGGAATTTTTTCTATGAATATACTTTCTACTGTACTCCAAAATATATGTTATAAGTATGTTCTCAGAGTAGTTTGTAAGAACCAAATAAAATAGGAAGTCATCTCAAAGTCCATTATTAGGAAACTTCTTGAATACATCTATATGAAAGGATACTATGAGGCCACTAAAAGTAAAGTGAACCTTTAAATGATACTATAAAATGCTCTTCAAGATCCATGAAAAATGGGCTGGGGATATAGCTCAGTTGGTAGAGTGCTTGCCTCTCATGCAGAAGGGCCTGGGTTCAATCCCCAGCACCACACACATACATACACACAAATGAAGAAGATACATAAAAAAGGCCCCCACCCCATCCCACCCTGCCCCATGGGTTTGGTGCCAGAACACCATTAAAAGAACTACCACTAAATCAAATGGAAAAGGGAAAACAACATTGTTATCATTGGTCTCATAGATTCAAGCAAGTTTATCACTACTGGGATCTGATCTGCAAATGTGGTGGCATCAACAAAAGAACCATTAAAAAATTGAGAAGGAGGCTGCTGAGAAGGGAAAGGGCTCCTTCAAGTGTACCTGGGTCTTGGACAAAAAAAAAAAAAAAAAAAAAAGCTGAGTATAAGCGTGGTATCACCATTGACATCTCCTTGTGGAAATTTGAGAGCGAGCTGCAAGTATTATGTGATTATCATTGATGCCCCAGGACACAGAGACCTTATAAAAAACATGATTACAGGCCTATCTCAGGCTGATTGCTGATAATTGCTACTAGTATTGGTGAATTGGAAGCTGATCACTCCAAGACTGGCAGACCCATGAAATGCCCTTCGGGTTTCCACACTGGGTATGAAGCAACTAATTGTTGGTATTAACAAAATGGATTCCACTGAGCCACCCTATAGGGCTGGAATTTTTTGATGACCACAGGGTAGGTAAGGCTGAATTTGATAAGAAAATTGTTTCACACCTTATATTTTTTCATTTCCTGACATGTATTTATACTTTCATTGCATCAGTCACCCTCAACTCAATTCAATTTCCATGAAATTTAATTCTCCCCTCTAAATTCCCAAAGAGAATATCTATTCTACATTTTATAAGGTTCCTAACTTAATTACTATTGAACCCTTAACTCATATAGGTTTGAAAAACTTCATATTTGTCCTAAAATTGCACAAACCCCATTTATTCTTATCCCACTTATGATTTATTGTTTACTGTTTATTGTTTATTATTTACTTGGTTCTTCTAGTTTGAGAAAAAGCCATAACTGTCCAAAAATTGCACCAAATCAATGTATCCTTCCTATTGCATATGGAAAATGACAAACTCCCAAATAGTGAGACCTAGGAAAAGGGGAGTGGGAAGGAAAGTCACACATTGAGAACATTGATCCTCTCCTAGTATATACTTTCCAGTAGTGAAAAAAAAATCCTGGAGAGGAGATGTCCATCAAAGCTAGAAAGGCAGTCTCTGGGAAGAGGTCAAAGCATTAATCCTTCCCTAAACAAATCCTTTCCAGAAACCAACCACTGACCCCAGGCCTTCCACCAGGCCCAGTAAGATAAATCCCAGAGACTGACCATTGACCCCAGACTCCCTCCCATTTGACCCAGTAAAACAGACCCCAAATTCCTGTGTGCCCAAGCTGACATGCTCATTAATTAAATCACCTCTTAGTATAACCTTCATAAGCCAAATCCCCTCCTTTGTTTAGTGATACATTTTCCCACTAGGAGAGTGGGTCCATGAGAACCATGACTCCATTCCTGAATAAGGGATTTGGGCTAATCTGTGAAGTGTCAGGCCCGATCTTTTTGTGCTAACACTTCCTCTTCTTATTAATTCCCTTTAGAACTGGAGATTTTCAGCTCAGATATACACCTTTTTTTTTCCAAATACAACCCCAATTTTTTCCCTTCCCAAGAAGGTTCAATCCTCTGAGTAATCAGCTACTTGAGCACAGCATTGTTATGTAATAGCCTCACTCTCCCCTTCAACTCTCAGAGTTGACCAGGCCTTCAGTCACTGTTGTCCTCCTGACTACCTCCACAGCAGTCTTGCCTGCCTCCCACTTGACCTTATTTGCTTTGGGCGGAGGCTCCCTTATTCATGGGGTCTGCTTGGGCCCAGAGACCCTTGACGGGAGTTCTCTGGCTGCATGTACTCTGGGTACTTCTCTGCCTTGTCTGCTGCTCCCATGGCCCCCCAAAATGGCGCTTCACATCTTCTGAGGTTGTGATTCCCAAGAAGGTACCCCAGAGGAGGGGTGAAATTAAAATGCCAAACCAGCTTGCCTACAGCATTCGCTTCCGGGGACAAAGACATGTGATCCACATGAAGCTCAAGAAGAACTTGATACCCAGACATTTTCCTGTTATTACTAATAATGACCAAGGAGCCAATCAGGAGGACTACCCATATGTCCCTCAAGATTGTTACTACTACAGCTATCTGGAAGGGGTTCCTGGGTCCGTGGCCACCCTGGACACCTGCTATGGAGGGCTGCGTGGCATGCTGCAGGTGGATGACTTCACTTATGAAATCAAACCATTGGAGGCTTCTTCCAAATTTGAGCATGTGGTTTCTCTGCTTGTGTCAGAAGACAGAGCAGATGAAGATGAAAGGTGTAAAATTGAAGAGGAAGAGACAAATCAAATACCTGAAGAGGTAAACTTAGCTGAAAGTCCTAGAGCAGGCCCTGTTTATTTGTGGCGATCACACATGAAACACATGAAGCTTCATTTCACAATTAGTAGTTCAGTATATTCGCAGAATCAAAATCAGACCCAGATAATAGAAAATGTAGTGATTATAAATAATATCCTGGATTCCATTTTCAGACCAGGCAATTTATATTCCAACATACGTATTCTGTGCATTTGGGAAAAAGAGGATACATTTAACATGAAACCATACAACCATGCTTCTACGGCTACACATGAATTTGGTTTATGGAAATTTTATAATCTGTGGAAAGTTTTTACACATGACACTTCAATACTTTATCTAGGATATATGGTAGGAGGTTCGAAGTATTATGCCTCCCATTCTGGCTTCTGCAACCCCAATTGGGGAGCAGCATATGTGTATTTTGAAAACTATCACATATTTAAGATCGCAGCTGTTACGGCACATGTAATTGCTCACAACATGGGCATAGCTCATGACGACCCTTCATGTGTTTGTTTTCGAAGACATCGTTGTGTTATGAATTCAATACCTGGTCTTCTAGATATGTTTAGCAATTGTTCTTATGATAGGTTGCATTGGATGGTACATAGATGGGATCCTTGCTTGAGTCTACCTAATAAACCATACTCCAATTTTCCTTATATTGCTAATCGTTGTGGAGACAAGGATGTAAATTCGAATGAACAATGTGACTGTGGCTCCCTTAAGGAGTGTGCCAATAACTCTTGTTGTTCTACCAACTGTGCCTTCACTTCTGGCAGTACATGCGATACTGGAGGTTGCTGCGATCATTGTAAATTCGCTAGTGCAGGAATGCTTTGCAGAGATGTACATGGTATTTGTGACCTTCCAGAGTACTGTGATGGGACAGGGAATAATTGCCCAAATGATTTATATGTCCAGGATGGAACCCCATGTTCACCACTCTCTGTTTGTGTGAGAGGAAACTGCAGTGACCGTGATTTGCAGTGTCAAGCCCTTCTTGGATACCAAGTAAAAGATGCTTTACCAATGTGCTATGAAAAATTGAATGTAATAGGTGACCGATTTGGAAACTGTGGGCTTAAGTTCGTAAGAGGGGGAACTAAACCTATGAAATGTGAAATAGATGATGTTTTATGTGGAATGTTGCACTGCAGTAATGTTCAACAAGTTCCTGGTGTAGCTGAGCACAGCACATTTCATCACATATATGTAGGTGACGCTAAACTGGAATCATGCTTTGGATTTGATACACATTATGGTGAAGAACTACCAGAAGTGGGACTTGTAGTGGATGGTGCAACCTGTGGCCCTGGACAATACTGTTTAAATAAAAACTGTACTTTTCATCGGGATTTTCCTTTTACCTGTGATGTGAAGACATGCAATTACAAAGGTGTGTGCAACAATCTGGAAAAGTGTCACTGTTTGAGGGGTTGGAAACCACCAGACTGTGAACAGAAAGGAACAGGTGGCAGTGAAGACAGTGGCCCTCCACCAGATAAAGAGTTATCTATGAAAGCCAAAATTCAAGTCACTGTAAACAAGGGACTAGTTGTAATCTTATCTCGAATCACTGCTTTTCTTCTTGTAATTTGTATTGGTGCAGCTATAAAAGCAAAAATAACTGCAGATGCGAAGAAAAAGGCTAAACCTCCTAAGAAATGAATACTAATGGGACTCACTGTATGGAAAAACGTACAATGGCACTTGCTGAAAGAAATGATTACTCTCACAATTTCATAAATTTTCGTGATTCTGAGGTTGTCATCTTAAAGTTAATCTTGAAATAAAATTCACTGGAAAGTTAAAAATGGTTTACTGTGCTTAAATTCGCTTCATGTCTGATCATATTTTTGAATGAGAGAGAGATTGAGTGTGTGTGTGTGTGTGTGTGTATGTTTTATGTGTGTATGTGTGTGTGTGTATTTTGTTAGGAATTGAACCCAGGGCCTTGCAATAACCAGGTAAGAGCTCAACCTCTGAGCTACACCCACTGACCAGGTTATACATATCCTTAATACTCCTATAGGTGAAACAGAAACTTTTAGATTCACTAGGAAGAGAAACTCATTGAAGATGTGGACTCTAAGTTTTCGTATATGCCCTGTTCTGGATCCCGGATGTGCTAGGATGTTCTAGTTTTAACAATGTCACAATCTGTTTCCAACTAGTAAGCACTGGGTTTTTGTTGTTATTTTTATCATTAGTGGAAAACTACTGAGGGTAAGAATTGTCAGAGATCCACAGGGAGGACTAAAATGAACTTGTGTATTATAGGCATTGTAAATTTCAACAGCAGTTCTGACACGTGCTGACGAAGCGATTATAGACAAAGTGCTACTCTTTCAGAATTTTGAAAACTAAATTTAACATAGAGACATGAAACATACTTCTCCATAAGCAATCAAAATGTAATGATGGCACCTAAGAAAAGCCTATGAAAGCCAAAATTCACTGGTTGTAATCTTATCTCGTTTTAGGGCTAAGCGCATGCCAGTGGCCATTAGTCTCATTATCCTCAGATTTATTCCTAGCTTATGCTAAACCTGTGATATTCTATGCATAGTCTTTGACAGTTTATTGATTAACAATCACATAAAAAATCATGGGCAATAATAGAACACTTCTTAACACTTCTCATGATTGAAATCATAGGATAGCACATACAAAATCCCAGGAATTGCAAAAACGCAGGCCGGCTACAAATTGTAGCATGCAACTAACCAGAGGGCAGGAAGAACCACATCAGAAACAGTGCGCTTGTTTGGAGCCTGGTGAGTGACCAGGATAATATATTCCTCCTTTAAAGGGGTCATATTTCAAATTCTTCCTCTTCAGGAAGTCTGGATTAGGGTAAGTACCAGAGGGGAGAAGAAGGATGCAGAAGGAGAGAATCAGTGGGGTTGCCATGGTGATATTATAGTTTGTTCATCTTTCCAGAGTTCTGTCCATCCCAGAAAGAGGGGCATTAAATGTCCCTAAATTGCCATCTAATCTCTCCCTTTAGGTTTGTTAATATTTGCTTTCTATATTTGGGTGTTCTGATATTGGGTGCACATATATTTGGAATTGTTATTTCCTCTTGCTGAATCGACCACTTATCATTATATACTGGTCTTCTTTGTCTCTTTTACTGCTTTTAACTTATATTTCATCTGGATATTAGCAAGGCTATTCCTGCTTTCTTTTGGGTTCCTCTTTGGGATATCTTATTCTGTCCATCACTTTCAGTTTAGGCATTTCCTTAGAGTTGAAGTGAGTTTCTAATTGCTTACCTAACATATTAATAAAGTTACTTTAAAAACTGTTCTCTTGGGGCTGGGAATGTGGCTCAAGTGGTAGCACGCTCACCTGGCGAGTGCGGGGCGCTGGGTTCGATCCTCGGCACCACATAAAAATAAAAAGAAAATAAAGATGTTGTGTACACCGAAAACTAAAAAAGAAATATTAAAAAATTCTTTCTCTCTCTATCTTAAAAAAAAAACTTCTCTTTTTTAGTCTTTAGTCAATATATAAATGTACCATATTTACAGTATTAGAGATTCTGAATTTGTCTGTATAGTTATTCTTACCAATGAGGTACACCTTCCAATTTTTCTTCCTACCCATTAAGGGATCTTTTTTTTTTTTTTTCAGTTTGAAGAATGCCATTTAACATTTCTTATAGGAGACATCTCTCAGTTTTTGTTTTTTCTGGGGATATATATTATACTTTTGCTATGCTATGTTTGTCAGCTTTTTCCCCCACCTTCAGTGCTGTGAAAAATCTCATGCCACATTCTTCTAGCCCATAAGGTTCCTGTTCAGTAGTCTGCTTTCAGGTTAATTGGAGCACCCTTGTTGCATTATTTTTTTCCTTTTTCCTCACTGCCTTGAGAAGTTTATCTCTATCCTTTGAGAGCTTCATTGTGTCATACATTAAGGTAGGCTTAGTTGGGTTCTATCTGATGGATAATGTTGGACCTTTCTGTACCAGAATTTTTGTATGCTTCTCTTTTAGTCAGTTGTTTTTTTGTTTTTTTTTTCACAACTGTGACCAGAAAACCTGACAAGAACAATTACAGGGACGAAAAATTTACCTAGTGCTCACAATGTCAGGCCTCAGTCTATACATGGCCAGCTCCATTACTCTGGGCCCTAGTTGAGGCAAAATCTCATGGCACAAGAGTGTGGTGGATGAAAGCAGCTCAGGACATGGCCACCAGGAAGCACAGAGAGCCTGATTCACCAGGGACAAAACATAAATCCCAAAGGCAAAATCACAGCAACCCACCTCCTCCAGTCACACCCTATCAGCCTACAGTTACCACCCAGTTAATTCAAGCAGATGAAGGTATTGCGTGGATTTTGTTAAGTCTCTTATTTTTATTTATTTTTATGTGGTGCTGAGGATTGAACCCAGGGCCTTGCACGTGCTAGGCGAGTGCTTTGCCACAGAGCCACAACCCCAGCCCATCTCTTAAAAACCCAATGATTTCACCTCTGAATATTCTTGTGTCATCTAATATATGAGCTTTTGGAAGATATCTAAACCAGAACAACTTTCCTAGGCCTCTGAAGTTTTCTGTTACTATCTTTTAGAATAAACTTTCTGTTGCTTTGGCATTCTCAAGTCCAACATGAACCCCAACAATCGAAATATTTCCTCTCCAAATGCTGTCCCCAAATTCCATTTCTATTTTTTCTATTTTCTGCTTTCTAGACTATGTATTTTCAAGAGCCCGTCTTCAAGCTCACTCATTCTTTCTTCTGTTTGATTTATTCTTCTATTTATAATCATGTTCTTAATTTTTACTTGGCATATCCTTCTGCTCAATATCTGTTGGGGCTTTCAAATTGCTTCCATATTTCCAAGTTTCTCTCTTAGGGTTTTGCATCTGTTCTCTGTGTTCTCTTGAAGCTCATTGAGTTCTGTTGAAAAAGATGCTTTCAGGTCTTCTGAAGGTTCTCCCATTGGGCACTCTCTATGGACAGTTTCTGGTGCCTTGTTTGATATTTGGTTGAGTACATGTTTCCATGAAAGTTCTTGATACTTGTTGATATGCATTATCATTAGGGTATTGAAGAATTAAGCTCTAAGTAGGCTGCTGATTTTCACTAAGCCTAGAGTCATTTTTTCCTTGCATTAGATGGAACCCTATGTTCTAGAATTGCCATGAGTCTATTATTTGTGGGGTTTTCTCTCTCTCTCTCTCTCTCTCTCTGTGTTTTGATTTTTACTTAATTGAAGCAGCATCATGTCGAATACCCCATTTAATATGGCCGCTGTTTTTCAGATACTATTACAGGGAAGTAAAAGGGAAAGTCAAGTTTTTGCTGTTTCAACAACAGGGTTAACCAAAACCTTCTATGTCCCAATTTACATTTAGTGTGTTATAGTGAAATTGGGTATACTTAAAAAGAGTAGTCCCTACAAGCCTGTCCCTGAGGCAATGGTAAACCCAGTTGGCCTCATCCAGAGTCACCATCCTGGGCCCAGAGCACAATCACCACACAGAAATTAGTTTCAGATTCTCAAATCATGACTGTGGCCCCAAACACCAAAAGGTCATGTTACACCCTGAGCCCACAGCCTGCCAAGAATAACACAGCACTCTGAAAGGACCGAGGCCCAGAGTGCAATCAGCTGCCTATTGCCGAGGAGGACTTGTGACCAAGACTGCTGCAAGAAGGCATAGGCAAAATGGAAAATGACAGATTAGAGAAAGGGTGCATTCTCCAATTTCTCCTTAGCTCAAGATTCCAGCAGCAGGACTAATGCACGTCATCAAGGTGGATGACTGAGGGAATTCACTGAGATTCAACATTAGATGGTAAAATAATCATAGTGACACAGAAAGTCAGAAGCTTTGAACATAAATAAGAACTAATACATTTAGAAATGCATCAGCTTGGCTGGTAGTGGCAGTGTCATCTCTGCCAGTCAACTGCAGAAAATGAGGAATAACTTGTTTTAATTTGTAGAAAAGGTCATCCTTGTTATAAAATTGCAAAAATGTGAGTAACTTGTGTCCATTCCTGAGGGTTTTGTGAAAGGGGTGTTAAAAAAAGGGTGTGAACTAGGGCTAGGGTCATGGCTCAGTGGTAGAGCACTTGCCAAGCATGTATAAGGCACTGGGTTCAATTCTCAGCATCACGTGTAAATAAATAAATAAGCTCCATTGACAACTAAATGAATGTTTACAAAAACAAAGAGAGATGTGAACTAGAGCATCTAAACAAACCTTGAAAGGATCTCTATGGTTTTTATTTACTTCTTATAGCAAAATGTGAAAATAAACAGTTTTAAAATAGAATTTACATTAAAAATGAAGTAGAGTGTAAAGATTTGGAGAATTCTCAGACTAGGTTTGTATTCTTCATCTCAGACCCTCATGGTACATGTTTGTTGGATTACCAGTCTTTTATATTCTGCTTGAGTGTTTAAATTCTTATTTCTTTCTCCTCCTGAGATTGGAAAATTTCAATCATCCTCATATTGTTCCTTCTGCCTGACCAAATCTGCAGAAGGAACAACCATTTTAGATCACTTTTTATTTTATTTATTGCCACTTTAAGATCCAGACTTTCTATTTTTTCCTATAATTCTTTTCCTTAACTATTGCTTTTTCCATGTATTATTTTTCTATTTCTTTTAGCTATTTGTCCATGTTTCCCCTTAACAC